GCTAAGCTAACTGGCTACTGGCTTCAGCTTCACATTTCTTGTACACATGAGAGAGTGGTATCAATCATCTTATCTAAATATCAGCAAAAAAAGAAGTATTTCTTTAAATGCTTCAACTTCAGCTATTGCTTCCATACATACAATAAACCTTTCAGTATAAGCTAGCTAGCGTCATAATTGGTGTGCGAGTTAGTGCTGATAATGAACCTGATGAAGACCCATGTCGGTCACAATGCCTTGGTCTATTTAAATACATATTTCCATGTAAAATAAAAAAGGGAGATCTGCATTTCTTACCTTTTTGAAATCATATTCCACCCGTACAATGAGCCATTTACAAGGTGGAATAAGCACAGTACACCTGAAGGCTCCAAAGAGCAGCTGCATGTGATCAACACAAAGGCTCAGCAGTGCCTTTACCCCATTGTCCACACAATATTTATCTTCAGAAAATGTAGTAGTTTTCTTTTTAGTTTTTTTCCTGCAACTGGGGCTTGTATGACTGGAATAACTTGTTTTAATTTTACATACAGTATATATGTCTTACAAAGCCTTGATAAACCAAATGCATCTTTTTATGAAAGGCTGCTGTTGTATATGCCAGGATGAGGATGTGTCTGAGTAGCATCGTGTATCCCGAAACACTGACGAGAAAGAACCAAACGTCTATGAGGTGATGCTTTTATTTATGAAACTATCGATTATCAAATTAATGAGCATTCCTTTTGGATATAACATGTCAGGTCTTATTTACTTCACAATTACACAAGAATATTGCTTAAGAATACAATGTCCTTGGTGTGGCCAATCCTTTTCTCCTAATGATGAATAACACAAATTTATTGTTTATTCATTTTAATCCAGCACCAACATTATGCTATCAAGCATGAAGTGCTATTAAAGAGCCTCTCTTTGCTTTAAACTACAAGTACATGAGTGTACTTTACCTTGTGGGTACGACAACATATATAATTTCACACTAAACACAGAAAAAAAGTTTTTTAAATCTACTGCACCAACAACTTTTCTCCATCCATACAGGAGCCAACTGTAAAATCCTTTAAGGTCATGTTAGAACATGAACATCGCCAACATCTTCACATGAAAAAACGATGAGACACACAGTCCTCGCCCTCAAAACTGCTTGTAGAGTACAACCCGGACACAGTCCTTTAATGATGCAAGTCTAATAGCTATCTTCACAACTTTGCAACTACAAGTTTTCAATTTCTTGCCCAAAACTAGATGTTTTGTGGTAGGAAGTCATGAGCGGAAGGGGAAGAACCAGCCTCCACCAGCTGTTTTCTTCAGTGTGTGTTCTTCCGACAGTCCCTCCTTCCTGAAAAGCTGCTCAGGTGTAATGGCCGACCTGCCAGTTTTAACCACATCAAACCACAGACGCAGGAAGCTTCCCCTCACTGTTATTATAAAGATCCTGCATTCACCACATTGCACCATTGTCATCCTGCACAAGATAAATCTGCATTTACACCTGTTGTATCGGCCAAGGAAATTGTGACTTTTGCTATAAAGCAGGAAAAGGAGACAAATTGCTATAAAGCAAAACGAGTCAATTCAAATATATACTCTTTTTTATCCTGAGCGATGAAAGGACATAAGGACTCATTTATGATCGCAAGACCACATACAAAGGCTTTTGAGTAATAAACAAAAATGTGTTGTTCAGCTTCAGATCCTTGACCCTCCTCGTCTCCATGACCTGTCTCTGAACCAAAACCAGCAGCCCCGTCACAAAAAGAGAATCTGCATATAAAACAAGCTGCAACAAGCTAACAACTAACCTTGTTTGTCTCACATAGTCAAATCTCACTCTGCCGCTCTCTTTCACTTGCCTCCTCCGCGCTGTGAAATATGCATCCGAGGCCGCACAGACAGTTTCCTCCAACATTAGCTATTGAACATGAAAGCTGAGCTCTGACTGGAAAATAGCACAGTAAAGTTCCAGGTCTAATTATGCTGGTTTAGTTTATGACCTGTCAGCTAATATCGATTATCCACAACTGCAGAATGGTAAGCCGCCTTTTACTTCAGTCTCCAGCTTGCTCATCACTTCCCAGACCAGGTGGGAATGAGTGAAGAGTTCACTTTTTCCTTTTCTCTTCTCTGTTTCAAATAGCGTTATTCACTGTTTTATTTTGGAAGGAAGACTTATACTGACAGCTGCAACATTTCAGTCTCTCACATACCAGGGACATGATGGGACAATGAGTTTAATTATCACCTCCAGACTACAGACAAATACATCTCAATTTAAAATTCATCACCACAGGTTTTCAGCTTTTTGGTTGGTATTATTAGACCCCACAAAAGTAAAAAAAGGTAAAACCAAAAATATGTAATTGCTTTCCATAACTTTGGATCATGTTTTGTATTAACTGTGGGGCGACTGTGGCTAAGTGGAAAGCAGGGCCGTCCTTCAATCAGAGGATTGGCGGTTTGATCCCCGGCTCAGGCTCCACTAGTCGCATATCGATGTGTCCTTGAGCAAGACACTTAACCCCAAAATGGCTCCCGTAGCTGTGCCTACGGTGTAGAAATGTGATAGAATCTGAATTGTAAGTCGCTTTGGATAAAAGCGTCTGCTAAATGACTGTAATGTAACTGTTTTGAGATTGTATGATCTCAAAACAGTTACATTACAGTCATTTAGCATACCATAGATCATACAATCTACTGTATATCAATGTCTGTGGTGAAGAGAGGGCTTGCCACCCACCCAAAAACTCTTGGGTAATTATTTAAATAATTATTTTCTGCAAGCGGAAGGATCTCTTCACATCGGAGCTTCTGCTTTTCTTTGGTAAACGTGATACCATCAGACAGAAATACATGAAGATTCACCTAAAAAAATGCCTTTGGTATATAAGAGAGAGTAGCTGTTCTCAAATATTCGAAGCTCAGAGGATTGGAAATACCCAAAAGAAGTCTGCATCAAACTGATCAATACAACAAAGGAATGAGATGGTGAGAGCATATTCACATGTCCAAGTTTTACAAGCTAAAAGTCAATTGAGCTGTTTTTACTAATCACATTAGGGCTCTGATACAGTACCTTTTAAAATTAACACAGAAGTAAAAGCACAAAATCAAATTTTTGATGGCTGAATTGAATTCAGCTGGTGGACTTTTTTTTCTCCACAGACATTTTTGACACGTCATAGCAGGAAAAGCATAGGTGAGATTGATAACATGAACGATGACTCCCTTCCATCAAGTATCCCAGTAAGCTCTGCCAATGAGCCACGATGCACAATACCAGGTCCTCCCCCATCGTTAATGTTAAAATGTTAGGTATGATAGTTCAGTCATTTGACATAAAGTTAAACCATTCAGTCACATCAAACCCCAGACACAGTTTAACATACAGAAAAATACCTAACATTTTCCTACTATGACATGTCTGCTGCACATGCTGGCTCACTGTCATGCTGTCATGGCTTATTCAATACAACTGATCCATTATTAGTGCTAACAGAAACACCTGTAGGTTTCTTACTATTAATGACAAGTCAAGCTGGACGGATATCCAAAGGCAAGGCAAGTTTATTTGTATAGCACATTTCAACAACAAGGTAATTTAAAGTGCTTCACATAAAGCCATTAAAAACATCGAAACACAAGGCAAAAGACAAGGAGATTTAAAAACAATTAAGAACATTGATTGAAACATTAAAAACAGTCATTAAAACACTAAAAAGCAGTGTAAGAAATAAATACAGTAGTGAAATGCAGGAAATTGATTAATATCCTTGAATCTGGTCCAATTAAAGGCAGCAGCAAACAGAAAAGTCTTCAATCTTGATTTAAAGGAGCTGAGGGTCTCAGCAGACCTGCAGCTTTCTGGGACTTTGTTCCAGATATGTGGAGCAGAAAAACTGAACGCTGCTTCTCCGTGTTTAGTTCTGACTCTGGGAACAGAAAGTAGACCGGTCCCAGACAACCTAAGGGGTCGGGATGGTTCATAAGGTAGCAGCAGATCAGAGATGTATTTTGGCCCCAAACCATTCAGTGCTTTATAAACCAACAGCAGGATTTTAAAGTAAATTCTTTGTTGGACAGGAATCCAGTACAAAGACCTCAGAACTGGAGTGATGTGATCCACTTTGTTGGTCTTAGTGAGGACTCGAGCTGCAGCGTTCTGAATCAGCTGCAGCGTTCTGATTGACTTTTTACAGAGACCTGTAAACGCACCGTTACAGTAGTCCAGTCTGCTGAAGGTAAATGCATGGACTAGTTTTTCCAAGTCCTGTTGAGACATAAGTCCTCTAATCCTTGATATAGTCTTCAGGTGATAGTAGGCTGATTTTGTAATAGTCTTGATATGGCTGTTCAGGTTGAGGTCTGAATCCTTAACTACACCTAGATTTCTGGCTTGGTTTGTGGTTTTTAACATCAGTGATTGAAGCTGAGCGGTGATTTTCAATCGTTCGTCCTTGGTACCAAAAACAATTACTTCTGTTTTATCTTTCTTTAATTGAAGAAAATTCTGGCACATCCAGTTGTTGATTTGTTCAATGCATTAACCCAGCCCTTGTATGGGGAAAAAGGTCATGTCACAGGTATAACAATAATGTAAATTCAAATCTCATTAGATGTCATGGTTATCCTCTAATTTATCTTAAAGACCTTCAGAATTAAAACTGAGTGCCTCTGCTGAGTGGGAGATGTTTGGGATTTCTGAAGCTGGTGTTTTTGTGGGAACGGAGATGATCCGTGACTGCTAACACGGAGCATCTGAGAGCGGTTAGCCCCTCAGATGTGAGCTTATCATCAGCTGTTAAGAGCGGTGTGAATTCCTCGGGCCTCAGGCTTCGGCCCTGAGTGTTTCTGAACAGATAGGAAGAGAGAGGGAGCGGAGGTGCAGATGCGGGCCTCACATCCTGCAGCACATGATGATTAGACTGAGAGGGCCCATGTTAGCACTGGTGTGAGAGGAATCTCATCCATCAGTGGCAGAAGGAGGAAGGAATGATGCCAAGTGTGGTTTACATACAAATTTAATGGAATAGAGGTGCATTAATTAAGTAAAGGAACAACTGCTTTTTCCCCAATTATCTAGAGCATATAGACCTGTAGATGAGCATGAAAATTAAGTTTTGACCCTGAAAAGGATCGTTTCAATAAAGAAATCTCAACTCTAGAACCACTAGAGCTTTTCCACTTATGAGCTTTTCCCTTCATCCGAGGATTGAGTTGCTTATAACCTAAGAGTGGTCACATCGTAATGTAGATGGAGACTGTGAAACACAGTTAATAGATCGGGAAAATGCTAAAAAGTGGACCTTGATGTAATATTATTGCTGACAGCTATAGCTACTTCACACAAAAAAGTAATTAAAAAGAATCCATTAGCAAAGCAATCAAAAGAAAAGTAGTAACACTTTGAATGATATACTGTATGTTGTGAAACTGACTTGTTCAATGGCCAGAGTGGCAAAGTTTATGGGTGTAGCTTCCAGTACATATTTATAAACTACTGCATGTCAGACTGTCAATGTGATTTACAATTTTGGAGACAAGCACACTTTATAATTTTAGATTTAATGGTTATAACTTCCCTATTTTAAATTCTTTTAATTCAGGACGAGAAGCTGTAACACAGCACTCCCAGTGGTCATTCATGATGCCTGCCGACCTGCAGGGCAGGCTGGGGTGGGGTGGGGGGGTTACACCTGAGCTGGCTGAGCAGCTGCAGCAGCTGCAGCAGAACGTCTGTCCACTGTGCTCTTACTGAGTTCCCCAAGAACGGCACAGGGGCAGATAGGCGAAATGTCTCACACCGGACAATCGAGAGGAACGTCCCAGAAGTTGATGCTCCTCTGCGCATCTGTTTAAAAGAAGCAAGGGGTTAACAGAGGGTGGTTTAAAGATGGAAATCATGATGTTAAACTGAAGAAAAAATGAATACAATGTGACCTGATTAGTTTCTTGTACTGTAAATTAGACAGAAGAGTCAACGAATCCTTAAGTATGGAGAGGATACAGCAACCAATTACTAATAACCAATAATAGTTTTTGAATGTCGGCAACAAACTTTGAAGAATCTTTTAATGTTGCACAATACATTTCCACTCAACAAGGTATACACAATACACCCAGAAAATTAACAAAGTGAATGATTGCATAGTTCTTGTATTTGTCACCCGATTAGCAGAAAATGTGTTGAAATGAGGCATGTTGCAGTAAGTTGGAACTGAGCTATGAACAAAGGAGCCGTCATTCTGTCATTATTCTGCCATCTTAACCACCAGGCAGGTTTACAGTAGAGTCAACAAACTTAGATCACTACTGTCCTTTTTCAATCCTAAATGGATGAACACATACGATATAAGCAATAGATAAGTGTGACTGTGAGATAATGAACATCTCAGATAGTACGAGGAATAACAATGACAAACTTTAAATACCAACCTCTAGTCTGACTGAAGGCAGCATTGTTGCTGTTGTTCTCATTCGTCCCCTTCAGCGACTCCACAGAGGTCTTGTTGGAGACGGCGCCTTCGTCATCGGTTTTCTCCTCCACACTCGGCTCCACAGGTGCGGGGGGACTCTGCTCAACGACGTCCTCTTTGGGTTTGTCCTCAGAGCTGTCTGGGGTTGGCACCGGAGCCGCAGACTCAGCGCTGGGATCAACAACAGATTTACCAGCCTCAGCTGTGAAGGAGAACAAAAGCAAACCACATTGAGTTTCGATGAATACTGTTTTTCCTACTCTAAATCCAGTTGAAGTGTGACAAATAGAACAATATGTGGATGAATTAAAATAACACACAGCTTAAGTCATTGTGGAATAAACTGGAAAAACACAACATTTATGTCATGCCTTTTTAATAGGAAGTAGGACAACGTTGTTGGGACATACTTTTAACTTCTATGACATTGTAGATTTGCAATTCACATTCTGTACTTAGCACCCACATAATAACAGTATTTCCACCCATATAGCCTCAAGCGGTTTCACACTCTCTGACAGTCAGGTGAAGGCATTTCAGGGGGCCACCATGTTGTTAATGAGGCGGCTGATTACTGACCAGTTCCTAATGAGCTACAGCCATGCAGCTGTTGGAGGCTGTGGGAAAGTAGGGCAGACCCATCATTATCTGACCCAGGGTTAGGTGGAGGGAAAGGGGAGATGAAGCGGAGAGGAAGGTGACCGTTGTTCTAGACATAATTCTGTCATGGGATTCTGTCATAGGATGGCTCCTCGAGCGACTTTCCAACAGTCAGAGAATCATCATGTCTGTCTGTTTTTTTTGGCGGATGACTAGAAGCATTATTACAGGTGGACTCTGGATCTGACTGACAGCTTTACATTATGCTTTAGTAAAAGACTGGACACGTGATCTGTAGTTGATACTTTGTGTTATGTTAAAAAGTCATTGGTTTAAATATTGTAATAAATAGCTCTATACCACTCGCATGTCCGTGCGTTATGTACTGAGATAGAGGCAGGTGGCAGTTATCTTCACTTAAAGACTAGAAGCAGGGGGAAACTGCTAACTTGGCCTTTTCCAAAAAAATGTTTTTATTAATTAACACTTTGGGAACAACTGGGTGCAGTAACCATATAGAGTTTTGTAACTTAAGGTAAGTTAACTTAAGTTAAACGATTATACTCTGATATTTCTCAACAACTATCAGATGGATTGCCTTGTATTTATATCTCAATGACACTGTTATTTATGTTGTAATGGAAAGAAGAAGTATTTATGAACTCACAGGAAGTGACAAATCCGACTGCTGGTGAAATGCGTTTTTCCTTTTCACTTCTGATAAAAGTTGACTAACCACTTGTCACTTTAGTATCCTTTGGTATAAAATGACGCAGACCGGCCATGTTGTACTGAATTTTGGGGGAGAATCTTGTATCGGATTGAGTGATTCACAATTTGCCAAGCGTAATTGAAACACGTGAGATAGAACAAGTGGGTTTGAGTGCACTGGATAAGCAGTCATCATCAGCCAAATCTGATTCTTCTTCTTGCCACCCAGTTGAATCCAAACAGCAGCAACAAACCCAGGTGCATGATTACAAATCTGACTGCCCACCTGCACTGATTGCTCACACAGTTTCAATTATTTTCCAATGAGAAGAAGGGAACCATTTGAAAGGTAGCTGACTTTCAAAGCGGCCATCAGCACTGTCCATTTCAACAGAGTGGCCTTAGGGCAGGGAGGCAAGCCCACACATGAAATGTTCATTTGACCTTTTCTTATTGAGCCTGGGAAGACCACTGAGTTAAACTGGAATACTAAATTCATTCTCAAACAAATGACAATTTCAGAACAAGGCAAGAACAAACACTTATGCTTTCATACATATTACACTATATGACACCAAATGTCTAGTTGAAGATTTAGCATAAACGTATAAATTATAGAGGCAGTTATCTTGAATTCACAAATATTTACTGAACATCAGAATTTAAAAGCTTTCTGACTTGCTACACATGAAGACGACTTTGGTATGTTTAGTTTCATACTTTCGTAATTTCATAATTACACTGAAAAACACTCGTGTTATGTGGCAAAAATGACCACATGCTCAAGAACCACTGAAGGAGGTGTGAGTTGTCAGCTGCAGTTAAGGCAAACTGAATGAGCTTGTAATTTGTTAACTTGGCTTCCATTTCCACCATGTGGTAGATATGAGTACTGCAGGCCACATTTTCAGCCTGTCCCTTACTACTTCTGATCTGAATTCATCTGCAACAGAGTTGTTTTTCAAGTCAAGCTCGAGTCAAGCTGCTGTGCAGAATTCAGATGTCCTTCCTATAAAATTGACATCAACTGTGCTTACAATCAATTCATAAACATGTGGTTTGGAAAAGTTTTATGACATATGGTAAAAATGTAACATTATTTTATTTCATATTTGCATTAGGCTGACAAATCAATACCTGGAGTGGAGCGCAACATGTTTTCTATTAAACTAAAATATTCTGTATGCCTGCAGGTCATTAACACGATCTCACAGTTAATTTAGACTGTAGAGAGAGCAAAAACGGTACTTCCTTTTATTCAGTTTAACTGATCTTGTGAAAGCGGAAGGAAGACAGCACACGATTAGCCCACAAAACGCGTACAAGTTCACAAAGTGATTTGCTAAAAACGGATATCTTATACTGGCTCCCTGAGCTCCATCGACACAATAAATAATGCTTATGAGTCAGAGGTTTGTTCTTACCTTTCTGCTCCTCCTGTACTTCAAGTTTGGCCTCTGGTTCCTCCGGCTCTTTTGTAGTTTCTGGACTTTCAAATGTTTGCAGACCTGAAAAGCAAACATGGATCAGGATTTATACTATTTCTGCAACAACAGTAGCACAATTTGATTAAGTTGGAAGGGTAATTGTTTTCCTTTATATAAATGTGACATCTTCTCTGTTGATATAGTTGATATACAATTATGATGGTGTGTTGGACTGACCGTTCTGAGGTACAGCATCAATCGGCTCCACAGAGTTGAGAGGGATGTTGGTTTCATCCGGTCTGGAGGTGAAGTTGACAGAGTTACGCTGTAAAAAGATGGGATTCAGAAACACACCAATAGTGACAAAAATGGAGGGAATGGTTTGACATTTTGGGAAATTAGAGGATTGATAACACTTTTATGTCTGCCGGCGGTTAGCTGTTTCTGCCTCTCTTTAGTCTTCATTGTAATCTAAGCTAACGTGAGTGTGGTATCAATTGTGTGGTCTAATTCTGAGAAAGTAAATGAATAATCTCATTTCAAAAAAATATCAAACTATTTCTTATTTGGTACGTTAGTGGAGACAAATGGCTAACGTTACTTACCCTTCTTCTATTCCGTAGGAAGCAGGCAACTCCAAATCCAAGGGCTACGAGGATGATCACAACTAGGATGATAATGCCTGAAGGAGGTAATACAGTTTGTAGTAATGTTTACATTGCAATGTGGCCCCAGACAAAGACACTGTTTGTGTCCATCTACTGTTTGTGGCTGAACTTAAAATACATTGTGGTTTGATATCACTTGATATCTTGTGTGCTGGAGCACATTTAAGTGTGACTCACCGGTGCTGTCACCTGCTGTCGATTTAGCTGGCTTGGCAGTGGTCTCTGTAAAAAGATATGTATACGGTTTATATTTCAAAAGAGAAAAACAAATCAAACAATGCCCTTTCACCTGAAGTTAGTCTGAATGATTAGTCAAATGTCACCTTCTATTCATAATACACTCAGAAGGGAAAGCTGCTTCCAGACTTTATCAGTGTTTAACTGGTTTAAAGCTGCATTAACAGATTTGTTTTGGCCACTTGGGGGCAGCAAAACAAGCTGAAAACAGTGACATTAATTACCCGACAAAGATGATATATCTAATGTTACACTTTCAGCAGACACAGAGCAACATTTGCATTCATTTGTAGACGTGTTCCTGTCCACCTGATGCAAGTAAGTCCAATATTTACTGTCCTTTGTGTCTGTCAACTCCAGAGAAAATATGTGGCTCTTTAGCAAATGCTCCACTGTGTCCACTGTGTGGTACTAGTCGCTGACTTCAGCATCAATTATATTCATCACTGTATCCAATTTTAACTCATATATTTCTTTTTTTTTCTGTCATTTGTCATCGCACAAAGTGATGAATGTGTTTCATGCTGAAGATAAGTATAATTGTAGTTGTTTCATTTATACCTATTCCAGGCTATGCAGCTGTATATTATACCTGGCATATATGTTTGAGTTTTACTGTTATTGTACAAGGAATATATCCCCACAGTATCACAATGTTTGGTAATGTACCAACGGTCAAATCGGACTAATTAAGAAACCCCAAATTGAATATGGTTTATTTCATCAGCAGTCTCAACTCACCTTTGTCCTTGTTCTTCTTGTTTGTTGTGGTGACAGATGTTGTGGGTTTAGGCGTGGTGATTGGGGGTGGGGTTTCTTTGCCACTTTTAGAGCTTCCCCCACCTGAATCAGAGAATCACGTTAAGCACAAGCAAACAATGATTCAGACAGGAACGATCATAAAACAATGAAGACATGATGATGAATCGGCTGGCTATGAGGGTCCAAAGCATCATTTTTGGGTAATCCAACACTTATGGCTACTGTACATGCATAAGGCAACATGAATAAGCTCTCACCATTCTGCACTGTTGTTGAAGGTAAGATGGTGCTGTTGCCCTCGGTGGTGTTCATGACAGTGTAGCTGGTGGTTATGGTGACATCGGTGGTGACGTCGAGGGGTGTCACAGTGGCGGAATAATTGCTAAAGTCATTTGAAGTTGTGGAAAGCCAGTTCCCTGTTGTTGTCTCAATTGTTATGTCAGGAGCCACAACCAAACCTGCAGGAAAAGATACACAGCCTTATCAAAACTATACACAAAAATGATCAAAGCTTGAGCATAAAACATTCACAACAAGTTCAGATTCAAGAAACTTCAAGTTTTTCTTGGTCTGTTTGTCTTGTGTTTGTTTTATTGTGTCTTTGCATATATAAAATAAAGAATTGATCACATTGATCACACAAAAATAAACTTTACTGCAGTCATTTATTTGCTGATCTGTAAATCAACCCTGCACTGTGTCATCAGACTACAAGACTTACAGTAGTTCTGTTAACTCTAAGCCCTAAAGAGAACCAGCTATGTAAGTTCTGTATATTAAGGTGTGGCCCTGCTTGTCTTATGATGTTTTACTCATAAACTCTGCCTTCAGGCTTTTCAATCCACTAAATGAAGCATTAAATTTAACTTTCATTGCATTTTTACCATCTACAATGAATTACTTAAAAAATACAGAACATCATACCAGGTTCTCAGAAAAACTTTCATATGGACAACAAAACTTGCAAAGATGCATTTAAAAAATAAATGGATACAAATATAAAGAGCCTTACCCAGGAAAAAGAAGAAAAGACCGATCGGAGGCATTGTAAGTTTCTTTGATGGTAGCAGCAGGTGGGGATAGTGTAGATACACAGAATATATATGTATTAGAAAAGCTATGAGCGCAGAGGTGATGCTTTCATGCGCTGCTTTTCTTCCTCAATGCCTCAGAGCATTACGTGCTTATACAAAAAACCAAAAAGAGGATCAACGCCTCTGACCACACCAGGATGCATCTAAAAACAGTGTTGCTCAAACGGTGTAAGTGAGAGGAAACACACTGTTGGAACATTGCTTCAGAGTCAACAATACGAGTACTCGTCTATTTCCTTTCACTGTCAATTTAAAATCAATTCATTAAATTAACAATATGGCATGTTCGTGGCAGCTGTAACACCTGTGTGGGCAAATATTTCATCTATTATTGACCTCTTAGTGTTTGACGGATTCCTTTGTCAGTTTGTGTTTTCAATTTATTTCCACTAAGCAATACATTGTGATGTTATAAGACAACTGTGAGTCTTTTTCTTGAGAAACTTAAAGTGTTGCAAAACAGGTTACTTGGTGCAATTGTTCCACTGTTGTCAGTACATTTTCTGCTCACTAGATGCCGCTGTGACAAAAGGGAAAAACGCCAGATGGGGTTTCGACAGTTGTCCTCTTTTTTTTGCTGAAGGTAAATTTAACTTGAACTAAATCGATTTCCCTCTCTCATGAGAATAAAGACGGTACAAAAGGTCCACAAAACATATAGGAACCTTGTATTTAAGTTGCATAGCATTTTAAAAAAAACAGAAAGATCAATAACAATATGTTGAGGCAATTGTTTTGGAGGCTGAGGAAGATATGATGGTGGTGAGAAAGCAATTAGAGATGCAACAATCAGTCGATTAATCAATCAACAGAAACAGAGTCGGCAACTAATTTGATAACCGACTAATAACTTTATTCATTTATCAAGGAATAATGCAATAATGCCACATTTTCACTGGTTGCAGCTTCTCAAACATGAGGTTTGATACTTTTCTTTGTTGGATATGAGTAACTTTGGGTTTTGGACTATTGGTCGAAATGCAGAAAACATCTGAGTACATCTATTTTTGGGCTCTGTTGGGAATCATTACAAGTACTTGTCTCTTTTTTCTAGCCTTTTACAGGTGTGTTATTTGCTGTAATGCTGTTTTTTTAATGTTTGTAAATGTGTGTGTGCGTGTGTGTGTGTGTGTGTGTGTGTGTGTGTGTGTGTGTGTCATTGAACAAGTGTGTCAGCATTACTTGTCCTGTGTGGGTGGAGTTGTTGTAAGGGTGTATGTGTGCTCAGCCTTGTAGGTTCATTTATTACTGTTTATTTCCCCATGCCAGTGGTAATCAGCAGCAGGATTAGTGTTAACTGCCACCCAGTCACTGGCAGGCTCCACGTGGGCCACCGCAGGCCTCTCCTGCCGACTGGCCTGACCGGGTCTGTCCACGACCAGCTCGCAGTGACGAGGAACTGGGAGTCCGCTAATCGTGAAGAAAGACTGGCCGTCTGGCTTCCTCTCTGGGCCACCTATCACCACATCACAGAGCCCAGGCACCAGCACCAGGCCCGGCCCGGTGGATGAGCTAATCGCTGAGGGGAGAGCAGAGTGTGTTTCTATGTGTGTGTGAGAGAGAGACACAGAGAGGGGAGAGAGCTGGACCACCCACCCGGAGGATTCAGAGGCACAGGATTCACAGCCCATTCTGTTGACCTGCCACACCGCCCCAGCTCTGGGCAAGGCCCTCCCCAATTGTTCCGCCTGCTAACACGGGGAGGGGGGGTTACACAAGGGGGATGGGGGGTGGACGAGCAGTAAACAGTGGGCTGAGCTTCTCTCCTTCAGCGCACAAAGGGGCTGAATTGTGTCGGGACTGGAGCACTTTTTAGAGTGGCCCTGCCATGGGGCCTGAATGAAACATCTGTGGAGGCTGAGCCCGAGGGAGAAAATGCTATTTTGCTGTTCAACCACACTGACAACCTGTTTTCTCTTTCTTTACCCTCCAACCCCCCCTCCTCACACACACCACCATCACCACCTCCCCTCACTGTTATTTCTCACTTGGCCTTGTAAAACTATTCAAACTGTATACTCACATTTGCCAAGCAAGTAACAGAGAGGCAACAGTAAATGAGGGAGAGAAAGAGAGAGATTACTTGAAGGTTTGAATGAGGATTCACTGAACTGGAAAAAAATTCCACATGCTTATGAACCTGCACAGAATTTTTTTTTCAGTTCAATTAAATTCAACAAATACAAAAATTTCAATGAACTGAAAAGAAACGTTGATCACGTGGACTGGCTCCCAGATTTCAGTTTCCATTTGAAAACCTGTCAACTTTTTGTTGTCCAACTGATTTCAACTATGTATAACTCTGATGTAGCTTATAATAAAAATGTTGAGTCCTGATGAGATATATACAGAAATGTTTAAATAGTATGTCAGTTACCAATTGTTATGGTAACATTTTGCATGAAGGCTCTGAAAAGCATGCAGAGATAAAGATAAAGAAATACAATTTCAATATTGCGATGTTGCCACATTTCCAGATTTAAGCAATTAACTTGGTGAGTACAATGTTACTATTTGCCAAAAGCATTTCAGTCAAAGAATTGACCATTTACAGCAAATGGTTACACAGTTAAATGTGGCGGGAAAAGCTCTGCTCATTGAAGGAGCTCTCAAAAAATCCAAACAGCCACGTTGATCAAACTGGATATCCCCCTTTATCAAACAAGCATGAATGTTTAATCTTAATTACGAAACACCACATAAGGAGTAGGGAGCTGCTGCAGCAAACGCTGTTTGTGGTGTAACATCCGCACTGTACACCTGCTGTGGATGAACTAAGAATGCTGAAGCTTGTAGAAGCCAAGGGCCAAAGCTATGAAAATAAATTGTTATACACTGGAACCATCCTTTAATTCATTAATGTGTGCGAGCTGCAGACAGCTAACGTCCTTTAATTAGATGAATACAGTGACTGGCGTATGGAGGCTATCATGGGTGTCGAGACCCTCCATCCATCAACATCACCTCCCCTCTTCCAGAAGGAACCCCCACACTCTCGACCTTCTTCCCCCAAAGTCCTTCTCCACCACACGCAGCTCAAAGAGCGAGACCACCGAGACATTTCAGTTTAATTGAAGGGGAAACAAAGATCCCTGCTTACTTCCTGGTCACCCATTTTCTTTAATCAATTTCCTCCCTTTGGTCCTATATCATCTGTAATTACTTTCCCTTTCCCGCCCCTTGTGGGTTCCTCCTGGAGCAAAGGTCCCCATACACACATATAAGGACACACACACACACACACACACACACACACTTATTGCTAACCCCCTACCGTAAGCAGGCAATACCTTTGGCATCAATACTCGTTGCCCCTCTTTGGCTCCTCCAGCCTGAACAATAGAGAAGGCCCACTGGCTCCAGAACCCCACCAAGCAACCCCTGACCCTGCCCACCTACTCCACTAAACCCCTACTCACACACACGCACACACACACACACACACACACACACACACACACACACACACACAC